CTCAGTCATCAACTGGGCTCAGAAGGGTGGATGGCGAAATACCCCTGTTCTCGCCAATTCCTGTCAGGCACTCAGACAGGCTCAGGGTGCCTGATCAATCGCACACTGATGCTTTGCAATCACCGCCTGTATGTCCTCTTCTCTACTGGATCTTCACTGAAGATACAGAGCCGCCATGGAACTTCTCGCCAGTTAGGGCCAGAAGAAGAGGATGCCCTGCGCTCAACCCTCAGTGCTCCAAGTCCAATCTCCGCTCTGATACCAACTGTTATGAACCTGGTTGTCTGACAATTTTCCCGTCACTCACACTCAAAGTATCTCACACATGCCCATACATGCATAAGACAAAGGGGAGGAGAGACAGAGTCCAAACTGTACACAGACCAGAGATAAGCAGCGGAAGAGCAACCATGCACATATGGGAAGAATACACCTAGTGTTTCTCTCTCTCTGACACACTCCCAACAACCAATCACAAGATGACACTGCGAAGATCACAATTGGAATGTCACACAGATGATGAGCCAACTCAACTCAGTTAACCCCAAATATCGTTACAGAGTTTAACCCAATGTCTCGCCACCTCAGTACCACACACGCCACCCACTACTCCACTCTCAGAGTCTAGCGCTGCATTGAAACAGCCTCCCAGAGGCCAGCGCCATACACCCAGATGAAGATCATGAACAGCGATGTAGTCCCCAGTGCCGATGAGTCACTCTGACGATAAAGAAGGCAGCTATGGCTGCCAGGCTGCTACCGTAGCAGCAACGCCCACATGTACCCAGCGAAGAGCCTTGAAATAGCCCTGCCAAGCGCTGATACCCCCAGAGGGTAGATGCGTTGAGACCAGCCCCAGCTATGGCTGTCTCAGAAAGGCTGGCTATGGCTGTCCACTCAAGCTGAAGTCTCAGGTGCCGCTGTAGACTTCCAGCGCTGCAAAACTTGGTTGGCCACGAACGCTGCAATGCGAAAATGAAACGCCAAAAAGTCCTGAATCGGTGTGCCTCCCCTACCTATAGACTCACTAGCCTAACCTAGACCTAGAACGGACTGATTGACCGACTGGTACCGTTGCTGTTTCAGCCTCTCGGCCTCTACCGGACCCGGCTATAGGCTATAGGACCGTCTAGCAGAATAGGCCACTTAGGGCCTGTCTGTCCTAGGGGTAGCCCGGGCCTGCACTAGGCAGTTAGGGTAGCTGTAGGAATTCGGGTTAGTACCGGGCCTATATTTTCCCCGGATTTACAGATCTGTCCCTCACGAATTTCCTCACAGGCTGGTCTCTCGGTTAGCCCTCAGCCAAACAAAATTACTAAACTAGCCTACCGATTAGTGTACAGCCTCGCAGTTAGTCTTGGCAGCAGAAATCAGCAAGTCATTGCATTTGCACAGAGGGCTCTTGTTGATTTGCTGGCCCGCCTTCACTTAGGGCGGGCACGAGGCTTGCTGGGGGCCTTAGCCCAGAACATGTCCATCACGGCAAGGCCCCTTCTTGAGGGCTCAATCCTCACAATAGTCTCTGCTGGGAAAAAATAGAAAAATCACGATTTTACCTTTTCTTTTGTTTCTTTGCACGGAAAATGAGCGGAGAGTGCATGACAGAAATCCAGATTCCATCATCACATTGAAAACCAGATAGTCGTGTGTCACTGCAGCCAGACTCACTTTGTTCTTCACTTCACATACATGCAATCAGATGGCAACTCACACTGGCGCCAAGCGCCCACTCAAAGCTCAGAGATATGGAAACCATGAACACAGCTCAGCTGCAAACTCGCTTCATCAGGCTATGACGCATCAATGCCTGTACATCCCAACTCTCGTCACTGTGTTCAATACCACTGTTCGCCCATGCTCAACTCTGGATCACCCTGGATAGCCCACACGCTTCCCTGTATTATACACACACACACTAAAGCCTATATTCAACCTGCAGTGGCCATGGCCGCTCAACTACTACTGACTATGGCTATGCTATCTTCCTTCAGCCCACTTCGACTTCGGGCGACCTGCAGACCACCTCGTACAAGACGCTGTGGCAGCACTTCCGCATGGCTTACGCAGCGAATGAATGAATGGCTGGGCGCTGCCTCTTGATTTATACTTCTGTAAGTCATCAGTCTGCCCTTTTCCACCGGGCCCATGGTGCACACAGTCCCTCATGGTACTTGCTAACTGTGCAAGTGAGACTGGGACTGGGTACTGCTGACTAAGCGAAGTTGGACTCACCACTTGTCTACTTGCCTCTGACTAAACGTGAGAAATTCTCGAAAGGCCACTTCCGGACCGGAAGTTTGCGGACTTGGCTTTCAGGACTGTCGCAGCTAAGACCTTGAGCTCTCAGGACTGTAGCAGCTACGACCTCTTCTTCTTCCCTCTTCTTCTTCCTCTTCCCTCTTCCTCTTCCCTCCTTCCCTTCTTCTTCTTCCCCTTCCTCTTCCTCCTCTTCCTCCTCTTCTTCCTCTTCCTCTTCTTCCTCTTCTTCCTCTTCCCCTTCCTCTTCCTCCTCTTCCTCTTCCAAATTGGTGAACTTGGATATATGCAAAGATTCTTAGAAAAATTAGTCAGATTCTACAAGGTGTTTGTAATTATTATAGTTTTCTACACAATCGTACCAAGCTGTGGCGTATTCAATATATCATAGAATATTCCGCCATGGCTACACTAGGTCAAAAACTCAAATTGAATAGTGCTGCTAAGGTTTTCAAACGTTTCTCTTTTCCACTTCCCATTACTTGTGGGACTCGACCCTATCAAAGGATTGAAGAGAAGGCGCTAAGGCTTCTTCTTCTTCTTTTTCTCCCCTCGTCCTCTTCTACTTCTTCCCCCC